TCTTGGCTATGCCAATCCCTTACGTTTTATGAGTGATGAAACTGTAAGCAAGGCAAGACAGACACGCAGCCAAGCCAGTCATTAGACACGAAATCAACAAGCTGTTCATCCTACCGCGACCGTGCTTGATTTTTATTTTTAGCAGCGGATCTGGGAGACAGCATCGATCATCTGTCGCCAAACTGCCTAATCACTATTGCACCCTGTCTTTCAGCTCTGCTTTTCTTTGTTCAATCGCCCACCACAATAAGCATACCCGCATATACCATGGATGACGACCGCGCTATATTCAATCGCACTCCGCCGCCGCCATACTCTGAAGACGACCTAGCACCCGGCCGCCCCAGTACGTCACAGAAGAGTCACGCAGCAACACCATCCAAAACCCTCCGATCACTTCGTCGCACCCACAGTGGACGACGATAATGAGTTTATTAGGAGCAGCGTTCCGGTGGAGGATGACCGTGTTTCGCTGCTGCTAGCGCTTTCCACTGGAATATTACCAGGTGGGTCGCTTGAAGAAAATCAACTGGAGCATGGTTTTCGACGCCGGCGGCACTCAGTGGCAGCTAAAGCTCATGCTAAAGGGCAACAGGTCCACAGGCAATGTCTCAATCTACCTCTGCCACGTTCCTACCGACCGCACTGCCAACAGGAAGGTCTATGCGTCGTTCTCATTTGCGATATCCAACGCAAAAGTCCCGTCAATTTGTAGCTGTCGAAAGCACATCACACGAATTCACCCATGTGGAAGACGACTTTGGGTTCACCGGGTTCATCGACAAGGCTGATTTGCGAAAGCGTCTGCCCGGCTACACCCGGCCTTGCTGGTTGAAGACCGCCTGCGCATTAGTGTCTATCTACGCGTCTACCACTACCAGGACGGACTAGCCGACGGCAACGATAGCGACTATGAAGATATCAGCGACAGTGAGGAAATCGACCAGCCAGCTGGCCTTCGAGGACGCTCTCAGGCTGGCTTCTTGGGTCTGGCCAATGACAGTGCATCGCTATATATGAATTCGCTGGTGCTATCACTCTATCACATACCGATGCTTCGCATGGCTGTGGCGCGTATAGACAGGCGTGGCGGGAGCAAGGCAGGGCCCTTGGCCATGCCCTGCGGACTACCTTTGAAAGTCTACGTGCTGACGACTCTCCTCAGACGCCTCTGCCATTGTCGCTGCACTACAGGATCAGTACGACGACTGCCCCGAACAGCAACCATCCAGCATTATATGCGCCTTCTCTGCGAGAACCTTGGACAGCGCATGCGTGGCACTCAGGACGAGGGAATAATTGACAGCCTGTTCATGGGGCTGTGCCGCACGACCACAAAATGCCTATATGTCAATTATCACAGCTCTCGTTCAGAGCCCATTTACGATCTGTCGCTCAACATCAACGTCCATCTACGCTGCAGGAGGCAATTGATGCTTACTGTGCACCAGAGGTTCTCCGTGGCGACAACAGATATCTAACCAATTCATATGGATACCAAGATGCGACTCGCAGTATTGGATTCGAAAAACTGCCACCAGTGCTACATATACACCTCAATCGCTTCGAATACGATGTGAACTCTGGAGCGCTTCGAAAGAGCTCGCAAGACTCAAGTATGCGATGCACCTTAACCTGGCTCAACACCTCGCTCTCAATGCTGACCGGTCCCAGACATGGCCCTACGCCCTGCATGGCATCTTGCTGCACACTGGAGACACGGAGGCTGGCCGGCACTTTTGTATATTGCGCCTAGAATCGCTGACGAGTGGTTCTGCTTCGAGGACGACCTCGTATACCCTGTTTCGTCGGATTTTGTGCTGGACGCAACTGATGAGATTGGCCACGGCGTCGAGCAGGACGACCCCCGCGTCGTGACCACCAGAGGACAAGCAGGTTTAAGAACGCATACATGCTGGTGTACATCCGTACCACTATGCTCACGCAGATATTTGGGTTCCAAGAGTTTGCCCAGACCACCACCGCCCAGCTGCACCAGCCGAACCACGCGCATCGTCATCTATTTCTCGACAGTCGGACGAACAGCTGACGGTAGTAGCATACGTCATCACCCATGACCAAGTGGTAAACCACCAAGGGTTTGACCTCTGCAACCATCCCAATATCGGAGGCCTCTCGGGGAACAGTCTAGTTGAGCTGTTTGTACCGTTGACAGCGACAACTGCTGAGCTCAGGAGTCGGGCTGCTTCATCGTTGGGCTGTCGGCCAGATGAATTCAGATTCTGGTGCATGACACCTCGCGTAAACAAGACGCTGCGCTGTGAGATGCCAATGGCCTGGTCATCCACCACCACGGTCAAGGATCTAATAAAGTATCATGGAACGTCGTCCAACTCGCTTTATCTGTACTGCGAGTTGCGTATGCTGAGCGACCCGGTGTTCTTTGGTCGGATACCGATACCGCAAGGAGTTACCATGATCCATTTGAAATTCTACAACCATGCTGAGGGCAAGATGATTGGGCTCGGCCACATCTACGTCAACGCCAGGCTGCCGATAAAGACCATCCTTCCGATCCTCTGCCAAAAGGCGGCCTTGCAAAGAAGACTGAGCTGCTGCTTTATGAAGAGATCAAGCCGTGGCTAATCGAAGGCTAGATCCCAGAACTTCAGCTGGGCGACATCATTTGCTTCCAGGCCAAAGCAAGCGCCGACCTTCAAAGCACTGAAGCTCGAGCTCACCCCAAGCTGATAACGGGGTTCTTTGACCGCTTAGCTGCACGTCTGCGCGTGCAAAAGACCGCAATCACTGATATCGAACCGGATTCATGTTTTCTGGACGGTAACAATACTCCAATGGACTCTACAAAAAGTCATTCATTTCCTTCATGAACTTTTGGTACTCGTCGTCAAGGGACGAGTCCTTGTTGGGCGCCTTGAGCGTGGGGTCCTTTGCGGTTGGTGTGCTTTTTGAACTGCACACCAGCAGCTGGCTTGATGGCGTTGCGAAGCGTGGGTCCGAGTCGTGGCATTGACCACTAGCAAATGGACCAACATCAACATCGGGAGCTGCATTCACTATTCTTTGGTGCACTAGGCACAGATGCGATCACACGCTGTCGCTCCTTTTGCTTTTGCTTGCGAGCAATAGCTGCCGGGACAAATGACCGCAGCTCCTTCTGAAGATTTCGGACTTCGGGCTCGGCTGCAAGCACTGTACAACTGGGACCGGCCTTCTTGATGCTTCGCTGGCACTAGCAGGTCGCTGCTGGCCACGGTGATTCGGGCCATACGGCATCTGCCGTTGCTGCCGGTAGTTTTGATGATGACGCATCGGATTTCCATGGCTACCGCTGCCATGGGATTTATGCTGCGGATTCTGTCGTTTGTACATTGGCGATGGACCCTTTGGTAGCGGTGGCCAGATTGAGTCCATTTCGAGGTCCTGCGGGAGCAGCGGTGGTGTCCCCGGAGGCATTGGCGGCAGCTTGTCGTCTACAGCCTCATTCGATTCCTCTGTTTTCTTAGCTGGCTCACCAAAATACGATACGGTCTGGATTCCCAAGTCATCTATACTCGTCAAGGTGTGAACTGTATCGTTTCCACCATATTCATAGGCACACCATCGTCGCTTTGTTCTGAGTTGTCGTCGGCAGCGTCTGCTGCCGCTAGTGGATCATAGCCGGCTGCATTGTCTTGTGTCTCCCACTTTTTCGGATCAATACCAGCCTCCTTTTGCCGCGCTAGCGTTTCCTCCAGCTCCTTCTCCATACTCGCCAATTTTTCCTTCTCGACTGCTGTCATTTTACGCGACTTGGGAATCCCCTTGTATTTGTCGATAGCCCGTTGCATCTTGTACGTGTTGCGGTGGCAATATGGCCTCTTCGCGCATCTTCTGTCGAACCTCTTTGTTCTTCTTTGCTTCACGCTTCTGCTGCTGCCTGCGATATGCATCTGCGGATTTTGTACTTTTCCCATAGCGAATTAGTGAGTGGATAAAAAGCTGCCGGAGAATAGATTGGATAAATAATATACCACCTAAAAGTAGCCAGAAATGGCGTATATCACATACCAATATTTGCGCTATTATGGCCAATAGCCATTACGTTCAGAAACCATTAACTCGGCGCCTTGTGCTCATATGCTTCAGAACCTCGTTTTTAAAACTAGTAGTTTCTAAGTGGCATAAACTATAATGCAACCGTCGATGGTGACCACCATCAGCACCCATTGAAATATATACGAGTGTTTGCTCACATATATAAAACAAAGTCTATGGCGACAAGCAGCAATTGTTGCATAGCTGTCCCTGATTCCTAGATCCACGCCACAGCGCTTGCGCAAGGTATAGTGGCTGCACTATATAGTCTAGCACATGTCCACGTAGCTGTAGGTATTTGGTTTCTTTACTTTCGCTAGTTATATGGTACGTTAAGTCTACTCGTATCCCAACAATAATGGAGAAAAGTAGGGGTGCGGCTTTGATATTATTCTTGACCATATTGGCGGGGAGGCTCTCTATAGTCTTTGCCACTGGACCTGCTGATCTGGTCAGCAATGGCTTGCATTGCGTCATCGTGCAGAGACATGCTGAGGGAGTGTCAGGACGACCGGTGCTAGATCGAACATCCATCTGCCACAGGTACCAGTACGAGCCCAGGTGGGCACGGAGCTGCTCAGCCATACGCACTGGGGCGACAATGGATAAATGGACTGGTGTTGTGTACGCATTCCCGACTCCTGCAACTGTGCCTACACAGGTCAGAATGGTGAGCTGCATGGCAAAGCAGTTCTAGTTGCAAATGCACGCTGTGCCTTACCATTCACCGTGCAAACAAGAGTGTCGATGCATGGTGCCAGGATCTCTGCTAGCCAGCGTGGCAGGTGCCCGGTCTTTTCAAAGCTGCTATTATAGACGCCGATAGCGTTGGCGTCATGGGTGTTGCTGGGCTCGCGCCTCAGCTCGATGCATTCGCAGACCGATGTCAGCCCTGTGTAGTACTGCCGCCCGACGACATGTGATTTGAACTGCCCGTGGACAACTGGCGCCATTATACAGGTGCAGGTTGGTAGATGAGGAAGGCAAAGGCAGCCGTTTGCCTCAAGAGCTCACTGCCGTCGGCGCATTTTATGTGCCGCCGAACAGCGCGTTCAGTAAAAGCAGTCAGATCACGTGCGCTCCCACTATCACTGCTGGGCAGCCGCCCCATGCGGCTGCGGCTAAATTTCCAGCGCTGTAGCGGAGAAAGTGGAGAAAAAATCGATCAAAAAAAGCATCGATTCTGCCACGGTTGTAAGTCGTCACTTGAGCGCTGCAATCGCTAGAGGGCCGCTCGCTTCTGAGCGGCGGTCCGTGTTTCGTATATCGCAGATGCGGGGACATATAAAGGAACCGGGCCGCAAATTCCAATTTGCCTTCCGAGCCGAAGCTCCTCGTATATCTCGCAACACACACATACACACCAGATACATACATGAACACAACAAGGAGTCAATCACAGCCTTGGAGCGGGAGGATCTGTCGATTAGGCCGCCACCGGAGCTGCTGCTGAGCCCAGGTGCTTGGCGTGCGTGAAGAGCGTCTGCCAAGCAATTGGCGCACTTTCTTTTCTCCACTTTCGCAACGCTCACCAGTCTGCTGTTTTTATTTTTGCTTTCTACGACCTCGCATTCCATGTCGAATTCGCAGCTTGAGCTCAGCCAGCTCGCTGGGGGAGATGTCCTAAGGCAGGCTCTGAGCATCGTGTATGGCGACATTGCATACAGACGGTTTAACCTCGGCGAGTACCGCATTGTTGCCGAGCTGGCCACCGTCTGCCGCACCTGGCACCTGGCTCTGGGCAAGTACCTTTACCGCACAGTATTCATCGAGCGTGTCTTTACGGATGGCACCACCGACGGCGACGGAGGATCCAAAAAATCCAAGTTCGTGACCAATATTGGTGCTATAGTTGCTGCGGGCATGTCCGGCCACACACAGCACATCAGGGCGCGAGCC